ACAAAGATTCTTCCTGCTAGTCGTTCTTCTAATAGTAGCTCTGCAAACTTACTGGTTTGTAGAGCTATGACCGATGGGTAGTGTGTGCTGTCAGGATTTGATGGTGATTGGAAAATGAAATGTAATCTGTTTTATTCTGAGAAAACAACAGTGCAGTATAATAAAGTACAGTACAGCATATCTGTACAAACATAGACACACTGTGTCACACTCATGTTACACAACTGGCTTAGTTCCAGTTTTTCAAGTTCTTTTAATACAATAATCTCTTGCTAGTATACACAATACATGCATTGTGGTTGTCTCTCTCATCTATAATGGCCACTGAGACATTTTTACACTGTACAGTCTATTAAGTTTCATGTTTTAAATGATGCTAAATGATGAACAAATGCTGCCCTCTATTGTCTTCACAGGTGATGCTACGTGGTGCCGATACTCACAGTTTAATATGACAAAAATTCAACTCTGTTCTCTTACAGAGACGATTGCACAACCTATTAATTAAACTGGATCAAATTCCAACAACCTGCCTCGTGCTTTCAATGAACTGAAACGGGACAACTCTCTTGCACCTTACAGCAGTTTCACACAGAGACCCGGGGTCTGTCTAATGAGCCGTGCTGTGAATAACTCAGAGCCAATAATGTATGTTAGATTGTCAGTGGCTTAGAGTTTGTGACCATAACAGTACAGAAGCAAACTATTTGAGTATAATTCATATGCAAAAAAACACTCAAAGTTATAAGAGTATTATTGATTGCATATGTTTCTTCCAGTTTTGGAATCCAATTAGAAAAATGAGACTTGGTAAAAAATCTCATATTGTTACTTTCCTAATGCCAATATGATTCTTCAAAGCTCCTGCTTTGAAATACTGAAGTTTAAAAATTGACCTGGTGAAAGATAATAATTCACAGTGACACACTGTCAGGATAAATCTTTAATATCACTGTAGTCATCTGAATCAACTTTCTCAAATGTGCTGTGATTAAATGCTGCTGCAACCCACTGTGGAAAAGCTGTGTTATTAAAATGAAAACATCTGTGACACGTGGAACACATTCACAGAGGACACAAAGGGAGGACATGCAGAGGCTGTATTAAAGTCAAAAGTCCAAATCTTTGGTCAAAAACAGGCAGCGGTTACAAGACAAGGAGCCCATCAAACAGTCTGTAGGCTCAAGCACACAATGAATTCAAACAGAAGTAAAAACAAAACAAAAAACTGGAAACTGAAAAATGTAACAAGGTGATGTGGGAGGGAACAAAGGGAAGCAGCACTGAATTATCATCAATGAAAGAGCAGAGATTGCAAAATAAATCAGGAAAGGACTTCAAACTTCCTGAGACTAAGGCCTCTGTTACAAATCTGTCTCATACAAAAACATGTTGTACAGGTACAGTATGGTAAGTGCTCATAGTAATTCATAAGCCGGCTCTACCTGAACCCCTTCAATATTTCTAAGTTTGTGTTTTTTTAATTGCAGTCAGAGTGTGGCTGCTAAAGATGAAAACACATACAGAATGTAAACTGAGCTTGGAGACCTTTGTTACTAACAAATGAGGCCAAAAAAACAAAATCCAAACCACACAAACACGATATTCATTAATAATTAGAAAGCATCTAAACATTCTGGTGGTGGATTTTTACAGTCTTCCGCTCGCTGTCATCTTCATAATCACCGTGATCAATACGTGACTTGGCGAGGTCCTGAGGTAGGCGGGTTGTCTCGGGTGATGTTACCTTCACAGGCAGGAACAGCGTCTGGC